TGTTGGTGCGCTCCTGGAGCGCTTTGGGGGAGTCGACCGGGACCTGACCGGGACTTGACCGGGGTACTTTTCGTCCGGGGACCCCCGGGGGCCGCCGCGCGCGCGAACTAGAAATACTATTAATCAGTTGCCGGAGATCTTAGCACGCCTCTGGCCCGTTGGGCCGGCGAATTGATATCGCCCCTTCCAAGCGCACACCTCAATCCATGGGTGCCAGCGCACATCGCAAGTGCATGCACTAGCGATGCCGCCCAACCCCCACAAGGCGGGAGCGCCTGGCTCCACCATTGTAGCTGAGATAACGTTGGGCTTCGGCCTTGCTGTCCACATCATGCCGACGAACACCAGAACCACCAGCCGCTGCCCGTCTTTTTCACACGCGCTAGCCATCTTTATCACACCATCGCTGTATCTGAGGACTTCCCCACGCGTGCTGATCCAGCACTGTAGCTGAAAATAGCGGGCTTCGGCGTTGCCGTCGGGTTCCAACTTCGCCCTGAACATCCCGCTGGGCAGCGCCAGAGCCCCTTGGGACAACCGGCCTGCCGCGCACGCGCCGGTACCAGCGCTGCAGCTGGTGACGTTCGGCTTGGGTATCGTCTCCCATGTGCCCCCGAACATTGCCAGAGCTCTCGCCCCAACGTGGCCGGCGACGGCGGGCCCCAGTTCACCTCCCACGTCTCCTTGAGCGTTGCCTTCCACATCGCGCTGAGCAGCATCACCAGTGCCTGCTGCTGAGGCTTACCCTTTTCGCACAAGCAGGTCCTGGCGCTGTAGTGATGGCGCTTCGTTATTGTATATAGCTGATCACTTTTCCGCACGCGCGAATCCCAGCAATGTGATTGATGACATCGGGCTCCGACTTCACCTCCCGCGGGGCCGCTGGGCAACAACACTGTCCACTGCCGTATTTCGCTTTCCTGCACGCAGTGACCCCAGCGTTATGGCTAATGAAATCGGGTCTCAGTGTGGATTGCCGCTGATATCTGCTTGCGACAAGTGAAATGGGGTCTCACCGACAAGTGCCAGAGTTCGCTGCCTCTGATGGCGGGTTCGCCTCCCGCGCTTCTCCAATTACACATGGCCGGGAAGAAATATAACCCCCCAGGAGGGGTGCGATCGAAGACGAAGAAGGCGGGTATCCAGGGTTTGGGATATGCATAGTGCATGACACGCGGGCAGCTAGGAACGAGCAGTCTTAGAATGATTATTGTTGTTGTTGTTGCTGTTGCTGTTGCTGTTGCTGCTGCTGCTGCTGCTGCTGCTGTTGTTGTTGTTGTTGTTGTTGTTGAACATTATTCCTTCTAAAGAATTATTATTGTTGGGGCCCCTGGTGCGCGACCTCTGCGCCGCGCCTAGGCCGCAGCTACATTTTCATCATTTTTTCGCGAAAGCTTCAGAAAAGTGGATGAGCTCCGGATCCGGTTTTTTGTTGACGCTCGTTTTCCCTTGCAAAAAACAATAGAAAATGAAAATTCTTGTTTTTACTTGATCAAATTGCAAGAATCCCTTGCAAAAAATAAGGTAAAGTGGACATTCGTGCGCGCAAGACGAAATCCTTCCAAAACCTTAGGTTTCGTAAAAACATCAAAAACCCAATGGTTTTCTCAGAAAAAATTGTCAAAATGTCCTTCCGCGCGCTCTTGCGGATTCCTCGGAAACCCACCAGATTTTAAACATTTCTGTTAAAAGGGCCTTTGCGAGGAACCTTTTCAGGTGCTTCGAACTTCTCCAACAACGGTTGCGAGCCTACGAGGGCCACCATCCCTTGCAAAAAATGAGACGACGTGCACATGCGCGCGGCCGCCGCGCGCGCATGTCGAAATCCTGCCAAACACAATGGGTTTTCAATAATTTCAAGATGCGATGTTCAGAAAACATATGAGCAATGCATGCGTCATCCTTGGGACTGTATAACATCAGTGTAACACATGTACTTCTGTAATCGCATCCCCACGAATTTGCCCCAAAAATGTGACCAACTATCTTGGCACTGCGTACCATCTCACGTGTACCGTGTACCACATCATATGTAACAGATGTGATCAACCTCTGTGGGTGTGTACCCCACGCCAGTGTAGTAGCCAGGGTCGTCCGCACGCCACGAAGTGAAGTGTCCCAACGTCATAGGGCGGGAAGCTGGGTGTGGGTGGTCTCGAAGAGTCGTTTGGATATTTGGTAGAGCTTGAACGGCCCCCCCACGAAGTGGGGGTATTGGCTGGTGTCGCAAGAAAACCCTGGCACTGGGGAGAACACTGAGCGTTCGGGTAAAATGATTGTTGTTGTTGTTGTTGTTGTTGAACATTATTTATTCTAAAGAATAATTATTGTTGGGCCCCCTGGTGCGCGCCCCCCCTGCGCCGCCTAGGCCGCAGCTACATTTTCATCATTTTCGTGAGGAAGCCTCAGAAAAGAGGGTGTGTACAGGATCCGGTTGTTTTGTTGTAATCCGCTTTCCCTTGCAAAAAACAATAGAAAATTACATTTCTTGTTCTAATATAATCAAATTTCAAGAATCCCTTGCAAAAAATAAGGTAAAGTGGACATTCGCGCGCGCAAGACGAAATCCTTCCAAAACCTTAGTGTTCGCAGCGATTTTAACATAAAAACATCAAAAAACCAATGGTTTTTCAACAAAAAATGTCAAAATCTCATCCCGCGCGCTCTTGCGGATTCGTAGGAAACCCAACACTTTTTAAACATTTCTGTCAAACGGGCTTTTGCGAGCAACTTTTTCGAACTTCTGCGACAACGGTTGCGCACCTGCCAGGGCCATCATCCCTGTCAAATAATACCATGCGGGACACATTCGTTTTTTCTTCGCGCGCGCACGCCGTCGTCGTCGGCCGCGGGGCCCTGAATAGTAGCCACGGTCGTCCGCATGCCACGAAGTGAAGTGTCCGAACGTCATAGGGCGGGAAGCTGGGTGTGGGTGGTGGCGAAGAGTCGTTTGGAAATTTGGTAGAGCTTGAACCGGCCCCCCCACAAAGTGGGGGTATTGCCCGCCTCCTATGAAAACCCTGGCACTGGTGAGAACGGAGTGTCCCCAGTCTTAAATGATTGTTGTTGTTGTTGTTGTTGTTGTTGTTGTTGTTGTTGTTGTTGTTGTTTGTTCCCCAAACACTGCTTGCACTTAGGGTGTTTCGTTTGTTTGTCGTAAAGAACTGAGCATGTTTGGCGGTCCGGCGGTCCCGTGGTCGCCGTCGCCGCCCCGTCGCCGCCTCGTCGCCGCCCATGGTCTGGGCCTGTCTGACGGTCTGGCGGCTCCGCGGTCGC